CCTCTCAGGGGCACAGACGAGGGACGTTTGCCACATGCACACATCGTGTTCGAATGCAATCAGTAGGGAGGCTTGTGATGCTGCTGTCATGTAACACTGGTCCCCAAAGTTGTGGCAGGTTATAAACATGGACCCGATTCTCTGCAACGTGTCCCATCAGCAGGTGTAAATGATTTCTCCACCTCTTGGATCTGGGCTTGCCAGCTGTGGCCAGCATGCGGTGTGGAAGGGGTGCTGCTGGAATTCTGAGCTGGGCCTGGGGGGACCTTGAGGGCTTTCTGCTCTCATGCTGCAAACCCTGCCACTGCCGTGTGAATGGGCACAGGCTCGCCTGCCGGATGCCCAGCAACGCATGGCCCAGTCACCCTCACCTCTGTCACCTCAGCTGGCAGCAAAAGAACCATTAGTCATGAAAGCAACCCCATCCTAGACCAGCCAGCCCCTGGCTAAGTTGCTGGCTGACTCCAGCAACCTGAGCAAACCCGGCCGAGGCCTGAGGCTGGCACCATCAGCAGGATGGCCAGGGGGCCCATGGACACGAGCAGAGATGAATTTCTGAGTTTGGGGGAGGTGTGTTATTCAGTTAAAGCTGACCCATACGGCTGTGGGTGGGGAAGGGTGAGTACAGACACCTTAAGGGAGTTCCTGGCCAGAGCTGGAAGTAGCATGTTTCACTTCCCAGAACTCAGTCCCATGGCTCCAATATGACTGCCAGGGAGGCTAGGAACTGTAGCTTCATCATGAGCCTACAAGGAAAAGGAAAGTGGTTTGGTGAATTACAGCATTGTCACTGCCACCCCATTTTGTAGATGAGTAAACTGAGGATCAGATGAGTCAAATTACTTGTGCAAGATCACACAGCGAGACGTAATGGAATTAGGATGTGAACCATGTTGTATGTCTGTAGTCCCCAACCCCCCCGGGCCGTGGACCGGTACCCGTCCATGGCCTTTTAGGAACTGGGCTGCACGGCAGGAGGTGAGTGGCAGGCTTCTGCTTCCTCTGTGTTTACAGCCACGCTGCATCACTCCCATCATTGCCTGAGCTCCGCCTCCTGCCAGATCAGCGGCAGCATTAGATTCTCATAGAAGCAAGAACCCTACTGTAAACTGCACATGCGAGGGGTCTAGGTTGCTCCTTATGAGAAGCTAATGCCTGATGCTCTGAGATGAAGCTGAGGCGGTGATGCTAGTGCTGGGGACTGGCTGCAAATACAGGTTATCATTGGCACCGAGGTTTGACTGCACAGAGACCTAATAAATCAATTGCTTGCAGACTCATATCAAAACCCTATCAGTGAGTGGCAAGTGACAATTAAGCTGCATCTGGTGGCAGGCTTTACAGTGGCAAGTGAGCATCTTACTTCAATTGTACAGCTGCATCTGGTGGCAGGCTTTAAGTCAGAATCTGACACTTAGTCTGCCTGTGGCCTGCCCATTATTTTATTCACCACTCTGTGTGCAGCTCTTTCCCGCACTGCACACTTGTCTCAGTCACAGCGTTGATAAGCCCACAAGCTAACCCTAGCAAAAATGAGTAAAAAACAAACATTGCTGGAGAACTTCTTTGTAAAGGGGAAAGGTCCAATGACAAGACAGCAGAAGACTCTAAAACCGCCAACAAAATGAAAGCTGCATTTAAAAGAAAATACCAAGAGTCCCACTTAAATTACGAGTTCATTGCAACAGGTGATTCACATTTTCCATGGCTGCTTTGTCTAGTATGTGGCGAGAGGCCATCCAACGGACCTATGGAAACTTCAAAACTGCCTCACCACAGACCAAAGCACGAAAACACAAGCTTTGGAGATTTTCAAAAGGAAAAAAGTGGACACGAAGAACAGAAGCAATTACTGAAGGCCGCCACTTCATCAGATGTGTCTACACTGACAACAGCATTCTTAGTGGCTAACTGCATTGCTAAAGCCAAGAAGCCCTTTGCCATTGGTGAAGAGTTGATCCTGCCTGCTGCTAAGGACATTGGCCATGGAATATTAGGGGAGGCTGCAGTTCAAAGGGTGGCCCGTGTTCCTCTTTTCGCTAGCACCATAACTAGACGAGCTGATGAAGTAGCAGAGGACGCTGAGAGGCACAATTGTTAGAAAGGATTAATGAGTCACCATGGCTCACAATCCAGGCTACTGATGTTGGCAACAAGGCAACAATGCTTGTTTTTGTGTGATAGATTTTTCAGGAGGACGTGCAGGAAGATATGTTATGCGCACTTTTGTTTCAACCAACACCACAGCCGCAGAACTATTCAAGTGTTTGAATGATTACATATCCGGAAAACTGAACTGGTCGTTTTGTGTCAGTGTATGCATAGATGGGGTGGCTGCTGTGACTGGATGGCTTTCTGGTTTCACTACTTGCGTCAGGAAGGTCACTCCTGGATGTGAGTCTACGCACTGTGTCATCCATAGAGAAACGCTGGCTAACCAAAAAAATGTGACCTGAACTAAGCGATGTTTTGCAAGATGTGATTAAAATTGTCAACCACTTTGAAGTCCATGCCCTTAACTCAGACCTGTTCACGCAGCTCTGTAGGAGATGGATGCAGAGCGCACGTGTCTTCTCTTACACACAGAAGTGGGACGGCTTTCTAAAGGTAGATCACTGGCCAGAGCTGCTGAGTTATGAGAGCTGCTCCGGAGAATTTTTTGAGAAAAAGTCATCACTAGCAGCAAATTTCAGCAACACAGAATGGGTCACAAAGCTTGCTTCCTTGTGCAACATATTCAACCTGCTCAGCAAACTCAATCTGTTACTTTAGGAGAAGACGACAACAGTGTTCAAGTCGGCAGTCAAAAGTGGCTGCATTCAAAGCCAAACTGGATCATGGGGGCGATGAGTGAATATTGGGATTTTTGACATGTTTCAAACACTAAGAAGAGATTTTGAAAGAGACCAAGCCAGGGCCTTCTTTCTCCCAGCTGGTGCATCATCATCATCTATCTGAGCTTTCAAAAGAGTTTGAGCATTACTTCCCAAGCACAAAAGACTCCCAAACTGGGAAGGAGTGGGTCAGTGACCCGCTTTAGAATAAGCCAGGTGAATTGACTTCGCGCTAGAAGATCAACAGCTTGAGATCGCAAATGACAGTGGCCTAAAAAGTATGTTTGAGACCACTTCAAATCTCCATACATTCTGGATTAAAGTCAAGGCAGAATATCCCGAGGTTGCCGCAAAAGCACTGAAAGCCTGCTTCCCTTTCCAACATACTGTCTTTGTGAAGCGGGGTGTTCTGCAGTGACGGCAACCCAAACGAGATTATGGAGCAGAGTGGACATAAGCAGCACACTTCGGTTTTCCCGTTTTCCCTTTTGTTTCCGGGAAACCAGGTTCGTGGTTCCCCTTGTTTTTTTTTTTTGTTGGTTTTTTTATTTTTTTCTTTTTTTTTTGCATTGGATTATTACCAAAATTAAGTTCCCCGTTAATTTTCTTTGGTTTGGTTCTTCTTGAACCCTTCCCCCCCCTCCCTGGTCCCTGGAAAAATCGTCTTCCATGAAACCTTTCCTTGGTGCCCAAAAGGTTGGGGATCACTCTTCTATGTGCCCCCCAAATCTGAGCCTGTTATCATGAGGCATTTGCCCCCACTCGCTAGTTGTTCTCCTTCTCCTGGGTTTCCGCTGCTGTGTGGAGAGAGACATAAACTCATTGCTCAGCTAACTTGCTACAAATGGGATCAGGACAGGTGTCCGATATGACCACTGGACTCACCAGCCCCTTTCTCTCCAACGCAGTCAGAAGGATTAATGGTGACCATATTTATGCCACATGTTATAGCTCATAGCTCTTCATGGGATCATCTTCTTTGATCTTAACAATACTTCTGTGAGGTTTTTGTTATTATTTTCTTATCAAACTGATGAGAAAACTGACATTCGAAAGCCGTAGTGAGGGGTGGAGGCAGGACAGGATCCATGCCTTTCAAGTAAGGATTCAGGCCGGTTTCCATTGAAAACAAACAAAAAGTAAACAATGGATAAAATGAGAGCTTTAAGAAGAACTGGGAAGCTACCCAAAACGTTTTATGTAGAGTGCACACAGTGGATTATTTACCTCTTTGCAAAGATCTCTAGATAGGAATCTGTGAATTCGAGAAGGATACAGTGCATTGTAAAATCTTTTTAACAAAATTTTTTTACAGTCTGTCATACAAGTTTAGACAAGCAAAATGTCAGAGGGATAAGCTCTGGGGACAACTTGCCGACTGACAGGGGCTGCGGTGTGCCTTAAAAGAGGAGTGAGATCCAGACGGTTAGAGAGATGGGCCAGACACAGCAGGATGGAGAAGCCCCAGGAGAGGCGTGTGTTTGGGGACTGCAGGGGCAGGCGCCTCCACCCAGGGGCACCACCGATGCTGGTGAGCAGCAGGGACGGGTCCGGTCCAGGGATGGAGCGAAGTGTGCTGTCACCCAGCCACACAGATTCCTGATTCACCGTTGAGGAGTGTAAAGATCTCAGCCTCTCTCTCTGTCTCTGTCTCCCTTTCCCCTGCCCCCTCCAACTCCTGTTCTCAGCTGCTCTAAAGGGAGAAAGGATGTGGGGAAATGAAAATTCTTACTGTTATTACATTTTATCATCACAGTGAAAACCAATGCAATAAAAAGCAACTCAGTTCAACTACTAGACAGAGATAATATGGAAAATAAGCAAATCGGGCTCATAAGTGTGATGAATTAATAATTGATGTGCTTAATAAACCTCTAGCTGCCTCTTGTGTGAAACTTCAAATGTCCCATAAAATGGATGAATAGTCTTCACCACTGAAGCTTGGTTATTGAATTATATTCGTAATATATTTCCACATGTCAGTGGGCATAGCTTACAGTGGAAAAGAAGGCAAACTCACCACAGATAGAAAGAGGTCCGTGAACTGAGAAAGAGGCATTAATCACAGACATTTGCAAGAACACGGAGCAGCCTTGCACCCGCCCTACGGCTGGCTCATCCGTCTGTACAACGGCCCCAGGAAAGACTGGTGGGTCTGATAAAAATCTGAAAAAAAGTCTCATGTTTCTCATGAACCATGTTTTACTAATCTCAAGCTGTCCCTCAGCCTTTAATCTTCCACAAGCCAATTTACAGCTGGAAATGTAATCATTGCATGACTTCCTTCTTTGAAAATTCAGTTGGCACTTGCTGAATTGAGCTGACGCGGATTCAGAGTCCTCTTGTCCGTTCTTTGAGACGCTTTGCCATGATGTCACCCTGTGGTGAATCCAAATTAGGTGACCAAGTGTGAGATCCGCAAGGAGTGCACAGACAGAGGGAAGGGGAATATTAAAAAAATTAAAGGAACATTTTCAGAGCTTGATGAGTAAGATGTGACTCGACAGCTGGAACAGGTCTGGCTGCTGTGGAGGGACACGAAGTAGGATCCAGTGTAGGGAATTGTAGGAAACTAAACATGGAGTGATATTCCAACAGCTGCCCGGTGAGGGGGGTGATAAGAAAAAGGCAAGTGAATGAGAGTCTGACTGACCTCTGGATGCTTCTCAGGGACAAGAAAAAGATGGAGAAACATATTTACACTATGTCAGAGTAGGGGAAAAAAAGAGAAGATTCTGAACCTGAAATTCTATAGCCAGATAAAGTGTTTTTCTAATGGAAAGGTTAAATACATTTTTTTTTTTTGAGACAGAGTCTTGCACTGCCATCCCAGGTGGAGTGCAGAGGCGTCATCATAGCTCAGAGCAACCTCAGACTCCTGGGCTGAAGTGATCCTCCTGCCTCAGCCTCCCAAGTGGCTGGGACTAGAGGCGGGGGCCATGACACCTGGCTAATTTTCCTATTTTTAGTAGAGACAGGGTCTTGCTCTTTGCTCAGGTTGGTCTCAAACCCCTGACCTCAAGCAATCCTTCCTCCTTGGCCTCCCAGAGTGGTGGGATTACAGGCGTGAGCCACCGTGCCCAGCCCATGGCTTGGTTCTTGCACCAAAGCAGATCTGGCAGGACCATGTGCCAGAGCCCCAGGTCTTGGGCCCCAAGTATGCAGACTGTTGGCACAGTCGTATTTATACCGTCGTAACAGATGTTAAAACAGGACTCATCCTGTGCCAGAGTTCAGGAGGGCCCAAGCAGACAGATACAACTATAAAATTGCTGGTTACTTGGCTTACTGAATTCCAATTGTTAAAAGCAATCCCGTCTATGAGTAGAAGGGTTCTCAGGTGAGAGGCATGCTGTTTCTCAGGAGTTTTTCTAGGATCCTAAGACAAATTATTGGTTCTATCTGTATTGTTCTACTTATTACAGGAACCACATGTTTTCATCATTGTGAATTGCTTTTTTCTTAAAAACAATCTAATAGAAAAAATTAAAGAACAATGTAATAAAAAATTGCTTTCATAAGAGTAACAGAGTTATAAAGTGTGAATGCTAAAGCTAGACACAATGTGTTAATCTTATAAGTATAGACCTACTAAACTTTGCTGGAGAATGTTAAGGAAGGCCTGAAAAAAATGAAGTTATTTACTATGGACTTGGATTAAAAGACTCAATATTTTTCCAAAGCCATTTTTTTCCCCAAAATTTGTTCATAAATTCATTATTATCCTAATCAGAATTACAACAGTAATATTCATGAATTTGGCAAACTAATTCTAGAATTCTTTAAAAAAATACACAGGAACATTCAGAATAATTTCAAATTATACACAATGAATGTGTATAATTGTATGTGTATAATGTGTATAAACTCTCTTGACCTAAGAGAGTTCATAAAATTAATGTTGGGATAATTGGCTTTTGTTTCCCTAGAGTGCTCCTTGGCATGACTCACAAAAGCAGAAATCCCGGTGTGTGAAACCAGTAAAAATAAAAACAAATGAAACAAACCCAACTCCACCTCTGAGTCAAAAGTAAAACAACATACAATCAGCAAATGCAAAGTAAGAGGACATTTATTTACATCATTGGGGTTTGAGAAAGCTTTGTAAAAAGTGCACTTAACATAATTGCTATAATAGAAGAATCAATGAATTCGACTGCATCAAAATTAATGTTTTCTCTGTAACTCAAATCAGCATAAATAATCTTAAAAGAAGAGAGACAGAGAGAGGAAATCCTTGTGACATTTATCACAAAGTATTAATGTCCAGAGGAAGAGAAACAATCTGATGGAGGCAGATAGCCGCAGACAATTCAGGGTAGAGAAAATCAGAAACAAACAAATGTATCGACTGAGAGGGTGTCCCTGTAAACTTCTGTGTAGTTATTCCAAGAAAGCAGAGGCAGTGGCTTAAAGGAATGGGGTAGGCTGGGTGGGTTGGCTCATGCCTGTAATCCCAGCATTCTGGGAGGCCAAGGCCAGAGGATCACTTGAGGCCAGGAGTTCCAGACCAATCTGGGCAACATACATAGTAAGACCCTGTCCCTATAAAAGATTAAAAAAAAATTAGCCAAGCGTGGTGGTGTGTGCCTGTAATCCCAGCCACTTGGAAGGCTGAGGAAAGAGGATCACTTGAGCCCAGGAGGCTGCAGTGAAGTATAATTGCACCACTGTACTCCAGCTTGAGTGAAACAGTGAGACTCACTTTCAAAAAAAAAAAAAAGATTGTGGTAGATATTTAGTGTTTATATGCTAATGCGGACAATATCTCTAAGACTATAGTTAAATGAATAAGACAATGAAAAATATTAAGTTGATTGTGATACCAAGTACCAAAACAAAAGCAAAAACAAAGGAATAAACCCCCAAATTCCCAAAATGCCTACATGTAAATGCATAGAATGTCTAGAGGCGCATTCAACAAATCAATTTCAGTAATGACTTCCTGGTTATTCCCTTCGAAATTTTACAAAGTTAACTGCATGTGATGAGAGTGTTACAGCCCCCACTCACCTACCTGCCTTTGTTTCCCCACCTGGGCAAGGTAGGGACCGCGCTGCCTTTGTCCTCATTGGGAAATACTGTGAGAAGCTATTCAAAGGAAACTCTTCTCTATTAGCGGGAAATTCCCATGGTCACCAACCCAGCCACTTTGGAGGATGTGACAGCTTAATTAGCTTGCTGCAGTGAAAAAGTGTTGCCGTCCAGGTCGGAGCGGCTTGCTGCGCCGTTCACCTTCTCCCCAGCACCGTGGGCTCTCTGTCTTTTTCCCAGCCCATATTGTTGGTCAAAACCACCGCGGAGCTGCACAGGCCTCTCTCCCACAGGCGGCTGCGTGTGCTCCCAGCAGGAACAGCTTCGCACAGAGCGGACAGCTCCCCGGGAACAAGAGCCACTCTTTGCACTGTTCCGAGACCCGTGACAACATGAACAGCAAGTGCAGCTGCCCATTGACTTAAAATAAATACAACACCTCCTCAGATGTCAGGAATAATGTCCCCATCACCAGATTCCGGAGGACGCTAACAGAAGGTGGCCATTCACTTTGACCCAGAACAAACGAAGAAATTCTTCCAGGTTTCAATGAGGCACTTACTTTACGAATGTGGAAAACTTGTTTTTTCTCTCTGCACAGACATCTCACATCAACTAAAGCAAAAGAGCAGGAACAATCTGGAGGGCAATACCCTTTCTTTGCCTCTGCTGAGCGCTGCAGAATTGACCACGCACTTGCCATACGCTCTCACCTCTGAGCCTCAGTACGTCCCTGAGAGATGGAAACTTCAGTGTTTTTTAGAAACACAAATCTTGAAAGCACCAAATCAGGACCTTGCATCCTGGTCTGTGACTTCCACAGCCCCTCCTATTGCATGTTGAGATGTCCTTTACTTGCTCATTTAGATGATTGGGAGAGAACATTGGGGACATAAAGGAGAGGAGAAATTAAATCTGGGCACATCTTTTCTGTCTTCCTTGTGCTCCAGCACCAGAGGTTGCAGCAGTGGGGCCTGGCGTCTGTGCCTGCAGCGAGCTTGCAGTCCGGCTGGGGCTAAGCCCAGGTAGCAGGTGCTGGCGATGCCTCGACACGCCCCTCCCCCATGTTTCAATGCCTCTGACAATGGGGTGGGGGGCATCTCTGGCACTCAACAGATTCCCACCTCAGGCACCAGTGGCCCTTTGCTTTCTCCGGCACCACCAAAGTCTGCTCAGCTTGATGCAGTCACTCACTCTCCCCAGGGGGGATCCCCAACTACTGGGGCATCAGTGAGTGAAGGCCTTGGCTCCCCCACTGTCCCCTGGTGGATAATCCAGAGGTGTGTTCTGCACGCTTGGTGGAGGTCCCAGTGGCAGAGCACCCCGTGCTTCATTGCAGGGACGGCTCTGGGCAGCGTCCCTGGCCAGCACCTGGTTTGGGCTTTACCCATTCTCTAACCCACTCCTGCCTCCTGGGATCACCCTCCAAATAAACTGTCTGCAGTCAAGTCCTGTCCTAAGTTCTGCTTTGGGGGAACTGAAATCAATACAGTGCATGTTTTTATCTTGTTATTGTTTGTGGCCCCAAGTGCTTGGGATAGAGTGGACATTTGTCAAATGACTTTTAATGGACAACTCCACCTCCTTTAATTTGTTTGTTCTCAAGTAGTAGCCAAAGTCAATAAACAACAATAATTTAAAAAAATGATGCTCTCCGTCCTTGTTGGCTGTTTTTATGTGAGAGAGAGAAAGAGAGAGAGAGAACACGTGTGTGCTCCCACAAGAGCACACACAAACACCAGATCTTGAAATTTTGGTCTGAATTCTTTTGGTTAAATATCCAACCACCTTCACACTTATGTTCAGATTTGGTACATGAAAATTGGAGTCTAATTTGTGTTTTTATTTCATAGATGGAGATGTCATCTATCACCTGGGTTGCCATCATAAAGATCATTTTCCTTCCTCCCCCTCGGGGTGGCAGCCCCAGGTTCCACAGCTGCAGGACCCTGTCCAGGGTGTGGGGAAATTAGTGGCGAAGGAAAGATGTGCCGTTGTCCATAAAGAGTTGCCTCTTACAAAGATCAGGGAAGTTGTTCTTCCCGAGCGGGGGCAGCGCTCTGCTCAAGCAGTCCTGCCCTTCACAGAGACAGCAGGCTACAGTGCACATCACAAACAAAAACCCCAGAGCGAAAACGCACTTGCTGCTCAGGAATCAGGAGGCCGAGTAGTACTTCAAGTCTGCCACTGGCTGTTCTTGCTGCTGCACCAACTACTGCTGTGATCGTGAGTGGCTGGACCCAGGCCCTGCCACAGGCGCTTTACCTGCTCTTTCTCACTGACTCCTAGCAACCCCCGCTGGGCGGGTGCTATTGAAATGCAACAGGGGAAGATTTTTCTGTAGGAAAATTGGCATCTGGGACCCAAAGAAGCGTCCATTGTGTACCCAATGTCCAAAAGAGAACTTTGGGGACTGGATTTGCTAGTCTGGACCTTTTAGAAAAAGGATCTAGCTGGCTCTGTGTGCCCAGCCACCCCCAGCTTCCCACTCGTCTGGAAGCAGGGTCCAGGGACCAGGGGTGGGTGGGGTCAGGCTGTCCCTCCCATGTCAGGTCTGAGGACATCTGGGCTTTCCCCTCACTTAAGGGTGCTTATGGGACAGGAAAAGGGAACATTGGAAGCCTAAGGCAGGGCTGAGAGAGGGACAGGGGTCGAGCAGCCTGGACCGCAGCTGGTTGTCATGGCAAGGACAAAGCCAGGCTGGAGCCACCGGTGACACCCCAGCCGGGAGGCCAGGAGGGAGGCTGCTGGGCGACCAGCAGCAGGAGGTTGGGGAGGGGAGCTGTGCAGGGAGTTGTTGCTCCGCACCTCCTGTCTCCCCATGGAACGGTCTCCCTGTTCCTTAGCCAGGGTTGCTGGCACACGGCGGCTTCTTCATTATCCCCTTTAAACTATGCATATTAAATTCAATTCTCTATTATAATCTATTTTATGATTATGTTTCAAGGGAAGATTATAAAGAAGAAAAGGTGCTTTGGTGCTATCTTTACATTCTTTAAAGCTGTGGCTGGCAGCTTCCCTTCCCCAACTCTCCCTCCTGGTCTTCCTGCTCCTCTGCCTCTCTCCCTCCCCACCCTCCCCTACCATCTTCTCTCCCTCCCCTCCCTGTGCCTGTGGGGCTGTTTTTTCTGCACTGGTCTTCAGCTTTAGCTGCTAACCCAGGACAGGAAGACCCTGTGTGACTGGGGTTTGGACTCAAGAGCAAAAGACTTCTTGCAGAGATCCCTGGCCAGGTGCCTGGCCCCATCCATTAGACAAGGCGGGTTCCAAGTCTCTGCATGTGCTCAGCATGGTGGTGAAGGGACATTGTCTTTCCAAGTTCCAAGAGCCCTGCACACATATCCTCCTCTATACCTCCCTGGAGGTGGGCCTGGGACTGTGCTCAGGACAGAATCAGGCCATTTGAGGGTCTCCTGGCCATAATCTCCATGACAACGAAGGAGTCAGGGACAGCAGAGAAAAATGAAAGACAGTGAGTGACAAGGTGAGCTTGTCCTCCTGGGCTTCTGACTGGCTCTGCAAGGACCTTCATCTTGCACTGATGCTATGCTGGGAATTTGCCATGTAAATGTATCCATGACAAGGGTGATGTTTCTGGAAGGGCAAAGGATGCCCACCAAGCCTGCCTCTATGTCCAGGCCCTCTGTGATTGACCCAAGTGCCCTGTCCTTTCAGGGGAGTCTATGCCTCCCCCAGCAGCCAGGGCGTGGCTGGCCATTCAGCTGGGAGGGTTTGGACAGTCCTGAGGAGCCAGAGGCTCCCTGCTCAGCACAGGGAGAGAGGAGGGGTGAGAGGTGCATCTCAGCATGTCTTGATTTTTCTTGACTGCTGAGTTATTTAAAACACAAAATAAAACAAAAACTACAAGGCAGGATTGTGTCTCTGTGATTCCACATTTATCCGTTTCGATGCATCCCAAGTCCTGGGAGAGAAAGAGGTACTTAATGGTGCCGACCTACACGAGTGTCAGAGCAGATAGAATCTCTCATGAATCATGGGCCACGTCATCCTCTGCCTGAACCTGGCCTCATGCCACAAGCCCAGCAGAGTCCTGTCATGGCCAGCCACCTCTTCTGCCTCTGTGTTAGTGCTTTGCTCCTGACAGAGCTTTCCCATGTGGCTGCTGGACATAAAACTGCTTGCTCATTTTGAACTTGAGAGGCTCGGGGAGTTTTGGGGACCTGGGGTGGATTGTGATGCCAGCGCAGAGCACTTGGGTGGGCGAAGTGCTACATGGTGATAAATGTCAGGGGCAGGTATTTTATTTCTACTAGGTAGGAAGTTACTTCCAATCCACAAATGAGCAGAAAGAGGTTCAGGGACACTAAGGCACCAACTGGAGTCCCAGCCTGTAGGAAGCACAGGTGGGACCTGCCTGGACCAGAGGCCTGGCCTCAAGCAGGCAGCCCCCTGCTGTAGGGCTGGGATGCCAAGGGGGGTGTTCAGGTGACCGACAGGCTGAAGTGGCTTGGAGGCCATGAGTGTCCGGTTGGGAAAACATCAAAACACCTCTTGTGAGCCAAAGAACCTTCAGCAACTGGAGTCTCTCCAGGAAAAAAATGGAACACTTGTCCTTGTCATGGTGTTTTCAATCCCCTTCTGAGGGGACCGCTTAAACAAGACTAACAGGAGCAGCACGGGGTTGCAAAGACGCCTCCCCCAAGCCCCAGCGTTTCTCCAGTCAGAGCAGGCTCCAAAGTGGGGCCCTTCAGGAGGAAGTGGGGGCAGAGCTGCAGCACGGCGTGGTCCCCACCTGACTTCCTGCTAGGCTCACACCTGCCAGGTTTCCTCAGCCCAGCGCCGCTGCCCAGCCCTGCCACGTGCACCAGAGCAAATCCTTCCACTGCAGCCTCCAGGTACCTTCTCTTTTTAGGGCCTCCCTGGCTGACACAGTGACACGTCGCTGGTTTCCAGTCTAAAGTAGGTGGTCGCTCAAGAACAAGATATTCACAGGGGTTTCTGAGATGATGAAAGTAAAAAATTGTTTCTTCCTAACACAGATAATGCCAATAAAAACAATCTTATGATTTCAAGTGCCTTTCTTGAGTGGTGTGCTCTAGCTGTAGATTCTGTCCCTGTGTAGCTGGAAACCAATGCTTTAGGGCTGAATTACACAGAATTTTAGTATTACGGATAAGGATTACTTAAGATTGCATAGCTTAATCACCAAGATTTTAACTGATTCCCAGCTTGGAAAACATCTTCATTTACTGGAGAAATCAATTGATGAAATACAAAATACATTGCAAGAGAACATGAAGAAATACTTCCCTAAGCTAATTATGATCAAAGAGTAGGTTAGAGCCCATGTGCTGTTGTTCTCTTCCAAAGTGAAACACTGTGTCCAGCTTTAAATGGGAAATGCTTTTTATTGCAGAGTCTAGCTGAGCACTCAAGGTAGACCTGGGACAAATCTTTCCAAATTTATGGTCCATATTTTTACTGAAAGATCAGCACATGTGGCAGCATCAGACGTTTTCGGTTACCTAGAAGTGTCTTTTAATTTAATAAAATAAAATAATAACAATCTGACCTGGAATTTGACCTTTGACTTAAACTATCTATCATTAAACTAGATATTTGTCCCTTGGTTAAATAATGCAAATAGTTTCACTCTATTTGGGTGCAATAATTGGTTTTATTGATTTTATTTTTACATTTTTATTTTATTTTATTTATTTATTTTTTATTTTTTTTTAATTAAAATTTTTTTTTTATTTTAGCGTATTATGGGGGTACAAGTGTTAAGGTTACATATATTGCCCATGTCCCCCTCCCTCCTCGAGTAAGAGCTTCAGGTGTTTCCATCCCCCAAATGTTGCACATCTTACTCGTTGTGGTTGTATATACCCATCCCCTCCTCCCCCCTCCCACCTTCCCGACTGATTTTAAACTAATATACTTTATTTTAAAAAATCATGACAAATCTTTAAAGTTTCTATCTATCTATCTATCTATCTATCTATCTATCTATCTATCTATCTATCTATCTATCTATATTTTTGGCCTAAAATTGGTGCTCGCTCAGGCTCTACATACTTACCCATGATATGTGCTGAGTAACTTTTAAGAAACTGAAACTTTGACTTCATCCGAGGAGCACGGACTGGCAGGGGCTGAGAGGAACAGAGAGGCTGGACGATGAGACGGGGCCAGACCCTCAGTTCTTCCCAAGGACTTGGGTCTTTAGCTGGTGGATGCTTGAAGTTATTACAGGGGCGTGGGCGGCATGGTAGATGTCAGCTTTGTAAAGCTCCCTTTGGCTGTTGCATGGAGGCTCTGTTGGAAGAGCATAAAGGTAGAATCGAAGGGAAGGTGGGAGCTGTATCAGTCAAGATCCCAGTAGGAAAGATCCCCTCTGCTAAATCCAACTGGAAGCCAGAAGGGAGGTGATGGTGCAAGTTGGCCCTGTGGGCACGAGCAGATGGAGAGAGTCTAGCAGATTTCTGCACAGTCTGGCCTTGGTGAGGAGGGAAGAAGCCTTTGACCCTGAGAACAGCAATGAAGTGGGAGGAGCAAGAGACCTTGAGGGACACTTAGGAGGCCAAAGGTTCTTGGGGGGTGATTGCTGGACGTGAGTGTGATTAGCTCAGTGAGGGAAGTGTGGGATAGCTCCCAAGTTTCCAGCTCCCTCTGTAGATGGTGACACCATTCACTGGGATTAGAAACACCTACGACATTCCAGGAACTTCCTAAACATTGTTTACATCATTCCCAGAACAATACAAAAGTCTCCATTTTGCCCATGGAGCAATGGAGGTTTAACTTACTGGGTCAAACGGCTAAAGAGTGGTGAAATCAGCATTAAAAAGCAGGTGTGGCAGACCCCAAAGCAATGCTTTTAATCCCCTCAATGTTCTATCTCCCTGGCCATGCAGGGGAGAAAATGCAGGGCTGATATTTCAGTTAAGAAGAAAATAAGTCCCATGAAAGCCCCAAGCTGAAGGGTGCATTTGAGCCTCCCAGGGACGTGGCTAGGAGTGAATGCAGCTGGAAGAGAAGACTTGGAGATGGGGAGGTGATGCCAGCACAGGGGCTGGCAGCCCTGCTGGTGCAGAAGCTACTCTGCATGAACTACCTGGCCACAGCCGGGTTCCCAGGACTCCCCTGTGAAAGTCTGGAATTAGCTGCTGGGAGACTCGGCATTGGGACTTCGGCTTGTCATCGTAGTAAGCCATGGTCTTTCTTGAGTTTACTCAGGTCCCTGAGACTGTCTTCTTGGTGAAAGAGCCCCCCTGCCCCACTGGCCCTGATTGCTCAGAGAATAAAGCCCAAGTGAGTTCACCGACTCCCAAGCACACGCAGGGTCTCCTCCCAGCCCACACCCTGGCACTATGCCTGCACGCCAACTGTGGCCCTCTCTGTGCGCCGTGCATTTCCCACCGCCGAGAGCCTTTGACCACGCAGCTACTCCTCGCTGGGACGCCTCTCCCCCGTCACAAGTTCACACCCTGTTGGCAAAGCCTCCCCTTTCCCCCAGCTGAACGTCTTTCTTCCTGATTCAACCAAAAGGCCAGCAGTCCGGGACCAGCGGCGCGCTGGCCAGTGTCTGACGACCAGCTCTCCGGAGGGCGTGGGAGCACGGGCCGGAAAGGCTGACTTGTAGCACTGGCGATTTCTGTGGTATATGTCCTCTTGCCACGGCCAATTGTAAGCTACCAGCGCTCTGACAACGGGCTCAGAGAACTCCTAAAAAGTTAACAGTTGGCTCTCACCAGCATCCACGGCCTGACACTCACATGCAGGGATTTAGCTGGGGTGGGGTGTGGCCCCCAGGCGGTTCTAGTGTGCCGCTGTGGTGGGAACCCCTGCATGTAACAGTCCTCGGCTGCAGAGTGACATCTCTGGGAACTTAAGACGTCCCCAGTCCTCTGCCTCACTCCCAGGGAGTCTGATTTAACTGGTCGCAGGAGCCCAGAGTCTGGTTATTTCTACTGATTTCCCAGTGGTACTCAGCTGTGCCCAGGGTCAAGCGCCAATGCCACTGCACTCCCCCTTCACTCTGTTTCCAGCACATTCCTTCCATTGCAGTTGGCTGTGTGCAGGTCTCATCTTCCTGGCAGGCTGTAAATACCTGAATCACGTGCTGCTGAGGGTTTCAGAAACGAAATCAGTATCACAGTAAGAGTTTATTTACAAGTGAGTCACGTTGCATGCACACAGCATCCGTTCACATTTGCCGGATGCCTGAAGCAGCGGAGCTTGTTACCGAATAGTCCAGGGCTCTGGCCCCACACAGCCCTGACGCTGAGCTCCCGGAGATCCCGGGAGAAACCGACACCTGCTCGGAGCTCTCTGAGAGTCCTTCCTGCCCCTGTGCTAATCCCCTGACCGAGAGGCTCCCTGTCACACCTGCCTCGCCTGCAGCTTTTGCTGTCTCTGTTGCCCGAGGAAGCTGCAGGAACCCAGGGCAGCCCTGCCTCCCGTCTGCACAGCGGGGACGATTGCTCACACTGACGTCGCTGCACTTGGCATTCACCCCACGCCGCGGCTACATCAGCGAGCCGCGGAACCGCATCTCCAGGTAAGTCGCGGTCGTCAGCCCTCAGTCCAGAGGAACCTGAGGGCGTCTGCTATCTGCAGGTGACTCAGGGGAACACGGTTCTGGCCGCTGCGTGTGTTGGTTGGAGGTTTGGGGGTGTTAGACTTGGAGAGTGCCTGGGGCAAGAGTGAGGGTGGCCCTCATTTTCCTGGGCACCTGCCATGACGGCCAGAGGAAGCTGCCCAAGCTGCTCACACCAATTCTCAGCCCTTCAACTGAGCAGCTTGGGCCGAGCAGTGATAATTTGTTCTCTATTGTACTCCATTCTGTTTATTTTATTTATTAACTGCTCTTCCCTTCACCACAGTGTGGGGATGTTTCCCTTCTCCACGGTTTCACAGCCCCTTGAATCTGTTTAAAATCCAGAGTGGCGTTAGGGAGGTTACAGGTGCCCCGGTCAGAATCTGCCCTGCTTTCCCCAGGGGCATGTTCTGGGGATCAGAGCAGAAGGGAATGGACACTTATTGATCACCTACTCCATGCTAAGCAGCATCTGGGCTTTCGTTTAATTCGCACAGCAATGATGTGCATTGGGTACAATTGTCCCCATTTAATTGAAAAGAAAACTGAGGCTTACAAAATAAGCACAATTTGTGCCTGAGCCCGGTTTGCAGCCAGGTTTTTCTGGCCTGGAGGCCTCCTGACTAGGTACCGATACTTGGCAGAAAATGATGCAGATGACCTGCAGACCTGGAGCAGTAGTTTGTGGATTTTCCCGAGTGTGGGCATGCATGAAGAAGCCCAGGTGTTTATTTCATAAACATGCAGATTCCTGGGCCCCGCCCTGGCTTCATGTGCAGTAAGTCTGGAGGGAGGCTCTGGAATCTGTATTTTTCACAAGCAGCCCCACCCTTATTTTTTTTTCCCTGAGCATGAAACATTGAAACTCCTGGTTTAGAGCATGTCTGTGAACAGAATCCTCACTGAAGTTTGCCAAAATTGATGGAGTATGTATCACAATGAGATTCATTTCAGAAGCAGATGTATCCTCTGAGCTGTCCGAAGAATCAGGTTTGCTTAGAATTCAATTGAATACAAGTTCAGAAATCCAATCAGGAGCAACGAGGGCAGCCTCGTGCCCACTGCTGCGAAATGCAATGAGTTTGGGCAATAGGAGAGGAAAGGGAACCCTCTTCTTCCCCTGGATCTGCAGTGGGTGCTTTGGTGACCTTTGCAGCCCAGAGTTGCTTCTGACAATCGTTCAAGTGGAGGAGCTCGTTGCCCAGACACTGTGGGATGATGCCGCGTCAAAGGCTTTTGTCCATTGACAGCTGTGGTTTGAAAATGTGCTCCATCAAACCCCCCCAGCTGCTGGGTACTGACTTTGAGTCAAGAATTCCTTTTTGGTACTGAGATCAAGAGGCTAAATCTAGTGTCAGGAGAGTCCAGAGAATTCTGTTTGAAGGACAACGTCTTAGTCTTTTTTTGTTATGACAGAACGCCCAAGACTGGGGAGATGGCATAATTTATAAAGAAATGTATTTCCTCCCAGTCCTGGAGGCTGAGAAGTCCAAGAATGAGGCGCTGGCATCCACCCAGGGCCTTCTTGCTGCATGCTCACGTGGCGGGAGGCGGAAGGGCAGAGAGAGGGTGCGCGTGACAGAAATGCGGGCTGAATTGTCACATTATGATAAGCCTAGGCTCCTGATAGGCATTAACCCATTTACAGGGACAAAGCCCTCACAGCCTAATCACCTCCTGAATGCCCCACCTCTCAACCCTGTTACGCTGGGGATTCATGCATTTTGGGAGCACAGTCAAACCATAGCGGATGTGTTGAGAAGTTTCATTTCCTAAAGGCATCTGTAAATTGTTAATAACAAATCACGCATCGTACTGGCGTACAATATTTTTGTGTCAATGTTTATCCTACTTTGAGCAAAAGGTCATTGAATTGGTTAACATCGAAGGACAGGTTAGAAACATGCTAGTGTCCTTCGGAAGAACAGAAACTGCGCGTGTGACAGGCGGAGAGGGCCTTTCTATCTCTGCAGCAGGCAGAGTATGCATTGATTCAAGAGTGCAGGAGGAAAGGTCCGGCGTGGCCCTGGGACTCGCGTGTCATCAGGAAGAATTGTGAGCTCTCTCTGGGCCTCTCTTCCTAGGGGTGTGGCTGGAGAAGACACGTGAAGTTGTAGGGAAAAGTCTGTGAGCCCCCAGACCCTGTGTGTGTGTGTGTGTGGCGTCCCAGGCCTTCTGTCCCATTCAAGAGGATTTGCTTATCAGGGTCCCCTCCATCCCTCCAACATAAGACTTACTGTCCTGTGAAACGTGGCTGTTGGGTTTCTAAGCCACCACAGGGCAACAGACAACCCCAGCACCCCCCTTGTTCAAACAGGAAAGTGTGTCCAGGGAGGGGGTGCAGGAGCACTTTGCACACCAGGGGGAAAGGCCTCACAGCAAGGGAGATGAGGTGGAAGAGATGGGAGAGGAATATGGGAGCACAGGTTTCACAAAGGTTGGCTGGGGTGGGAGAGATCAACAGCAGAAGGGCACGAGGGAAATTTTGGGGGTATCAGAAAGTTCTAGAACTCAATGGAAAGTTCTAGAACTCAATCCAGGTGACGGTTTACATGAGCCTTTACAATTGTCAAATGCAGTTAAAATGGGTACATTTTATTGTATGTAAGTTATGCCTCAATAAAAGTGATTTTTGCAAAGTAAAAAAAAAGGAAAGAAATGTGGCTGTGGGAATTTGTTATCCTTTTGATAACATTTCAGTAGCCTGGACACCTACAGGAAGGTGAGTGCTCAGTCCCCACCACAACCTCTCACGATGAGGTCAAGTTGCAAGTCAGATTCTCCCTCACAGGGAAACAAGTTTCAGCGACCAGGCACGAGATGGCCCGGCAACCTGTACTCTGTGGTGTGAACGGTCCCCTCCAAGGCAGGACGGGGCAATGTCTGTGGCAGCAGGTGCAGCTTGCACTCTGGTGCCTCCAGGTGCTGGGCCTTGATTCCTAAGTTCCGTTCATTACAGGCACAAGGCTCTGTGTCGCATTTCCAGACAATCCAGTCTTTGGACACCACTCACTTCATCAAATAAAATATGATTTCACACCTCCTTTGTGTTGACTAATGAACCTTCCTATGCACATAGACTGCGGACGAGGGAATCCCTGAACAGTGGGCTTCTTCCTCTCTGGGACTTTCAGATGCGAGCTGGTCACGCTTAGACAGAGTGCAATTGATGAAGGATTACACATGTGGACCCCGGACCAGTAGTGTGCAGGTCAAAGCAGATACACACATGTACACGCAAGCACACCGTCTCTATATCAGGTCCTCCTGAGTAAATCACATGTGCAACAAAATTTCCAACAAGTCACTTGGAGCTCCTGCTCCAAGTCCTTCCTTCCCATCCTCCCTAAAACCCCTGCACTCTATCCTCCAATATTATGGCTTCTCTGAAACTACTCTAAGGTCACTGACCAGTTCAACACTGCAGCGTCTGTTAGACACATTTCCAGCCCCTGCTCCATCCTCCGGTGTACTTAGCCCCCCACTCTCTCCCCACTCACACTGCACGAGGACACACCGCTGGCATTCCTCAACCTTGCTGGTGTTCCTTCTCAGTGTGACTGGCTCTATGGACAAATTTCAATGACCCCTCTAATGTTTTGTTAATCATCTTCTCCCTTAACTAACTACTTAAACTTTTTGAGTTGTTTCCCACAAATGGCGGAATTTCTGCAAAACAAAGGAGTTGAGATTCTGGAGTCCCCTGGACAGACTTCCTGCAATGTGGAGATTTACCATCCCCCACAACCTGCACCCACGCACATAGCGCTTGTCAGTCACACCACGACCTGCCCCAACGCATGTAGCACCTCCTTAAAAAGCCCTTAATCTCTATTTGTTGGGGGGATGGATTTGAAGCTGATTCCCTCATTTTCCCAATACATGTCTTTAGTATTAAACAATTCCTTTCTTCCTCGGCAATCCTCATTGTCTCCATAACTGGCTCTTTGGCAGCATGCAACCAGACCTGAGCAGAAACCTGCTTGCAGTTTCGACAGCATCAGTGTCCTTTTTGGAGGCTCCTTTTCCATAGCATCATTAAAGTCTGGAGTTCCTTGCAGGGCAGGCCTTGTTTCTCCTCAAGCCACACTCCCCCCGGTAGCTCTCATCCATCCCTACAGCATTGCACACCATTCTGTCCTGACACCCTCCATGAGAGCTCCTGTTCTCATGGCTTAGGGTCCCCTCCCTGGGGCATCTCCTGGATCTTGAGTGGAGCCCTGACTTCCTCCCTCTCTGTGCCTGCCTTCTCCCCACCTCCCACACGGCAGGGGCGGCACATTCTTCTCACAGTGGAAGTCAGGAATCAGGGAGTCATCTCTGGTTCTCCCTTTCCTTCCTGCATCCCCTAATCTGGCTACCTCTGAGTCCTCCCCCTTCTCTCTCCAAAAGGCATCTCCATCTCCACTGTCACCGTATGGTCCAAGCCACCGCCATCCCTTGCCTTGACTCCTCAGGGAACTCTTTAACTGGCTTTATTGTTTCTAATTTTGCTGCCCTTTGAATCCACGCCCCACAGAGAGCCAGGGTAACATTTGGAAAGTCTGAACAGACGGACGCCAACATCCACGAACAAGCCTGCCTTGACTGGGATCCCCGGGCACTCAGCAAGGCCAGCGGGCGGGCTCTGCCTCCTCCTCCTCACTGACAGCACAGCTCTGCTCACTCCTGACTCCGGGTCAGCCTCTTCTCACTTCGCTGCCGCACGGCCCAGGTCATGCCTGATGTTTGGCCTTTGGGCCTTGAATATGTTGCCTGGGTCTGAAAATGTCTGGCTTCTTCTCAGTCTCTGGTTGTCATCTCAAATGCTGCCCCTTCTGAGAGGCCTTCCTGGGCTGCTCCATCTAAAAGAGGCTTCTTTTTATTGCCTGTGGCTGCTTGCTGTGGGTTTAGGTCACCATTCTTTTTTTTTTTTTGAGACAGAGTCTGGCTCTGTTACCCAGGCTAGAGTGCTGTGGCATCAGCCTAGCTGACAGCAACCTCAAACTCCTGGGCTCAAGTGATCCTCCTGCCTCAGCCTCCCGAGTCGGGGCTGGGACTACAGGTGCGCACCACAAGGCCCTGCTAATTTTTCTATTATGAGTGGAGACAGCATCTTACTCTTGCTCAGGATGGTGTCAAACTCCCGAACTCAAGTGATCCTCCCACCTGGGCCTCCCAGAGTGCTAGGATTATAGGTGTGAGCCACCGCACCTGGTCTAGCTCACCATTCTTATCTAATCTGTTGCTGTTTTACTTACAATTGCATTTACTGGTCTTTGCCATGTCTCTCACTAGTATATGGGCTCCGTGAGCCCAGGTACCAGGTCTGTCTTTTCCTGCACTGCATCCCCAATGCCTAGTTAGGGGAGGTTCCCACCAACGTTAGTTGAAGGGGTAAGTGAGGAATAACACAGTGGAAAGAGCCCTGCCAGCCATGTGAAGCTTCACTACCACCCAGACTCACCAGGTCTCCGTGATCTCATCAGTGTTGGCCAGCGGCTCTGCGAGTTCCCCTCCTATTCTGATATTTGTTGAGATAAGCCAAGAGTCCTGAAAAGACCAACTCTATATACTTTCCTGGGCATCGGTTGTTTTCTGGGCAGTATTTTGCACCATGTGGTGGTAATCACTATTCCATTTCCCACCTGTTCCTCAATGGCCTCAGGCCTTTGAAGCTCTAGGATAATGTAAGTGAGAGACAGCGACTGGCCCTGTGACATTTAGGAGACCAGGCTACATTCTGTTTTGTTTCCACGGTGATGTGACAAAACAGTAGAGCTGTGACTGGCTCTCAGAAATGACCTTGTGCAAGTGTCAACATCACCAACTCATCTCCTTCCTTCATCCCCTCCCCACACCAGCGAGACACAGAAGGCACCAAGGGGAGGCTCCATCTCTAATCTGCACTGCAGATGTCACATTTTCCAACATTCAACACGAGTTACCATACTCGCTTGGGCTTTGGAGACCCCACGTCATCCACATTCCCATGTCTGTAGACCTGGCTGTAGGGGACTGACATATATTTTCCTAGTTTAAGAACTAAATTTAGTAATGTACGTGCTCTGCCCAGAGCATTGAAAAGTAATATGTTCCAGACAAGGCACCTGTTGCCTTGGGGCATAACAAAAACAAGGTGTTGCCTGGAGGCATAACAAAGGACCTGAGTTGCAAGTAAGCAAGAGCTACCCCACCCCACGGCATTGGGGGTCTGGAGGCCACATGATTAACACATTGTTCCTGTGATTGCTGTGTACACCCCATAAGATGGCTGGTTAGTCAATGATGGGTAAGACTCCTCAAGGGAGGGGCGACCTAAGCCAGGCACAGCTGCTGAGGATCTTAGGGGATCACCCTAAGAAAAGCTGGGGATAAGAAATGCCCCCTGTGCCTTGCCCATCCTTGCTAATCTCGGTCCATGATCTATGCCTAGTGTCTAGAGCAACCACCTGGAAACCTTGAGCCAGGGGAAATCTGCTTCCCTAAGGCTATGTATTCTGGAATTTATGGCTATTGCCACAATGCCGGGGTGGTTACACACAAGGAACTAACTTTAATTTTTTACAGTATAAAAATAAAACTGACCTGGTATATTATTACTTGAGTCAACCGTTTGTACGTGTGTCTGCGTTTTTCTTTGTGTTCTGCATTGGTGTTTTGTGTTCTGTGTTCATCCTCCATCCTGTAAAGGGGCCACGACACCTGGCTTCTCCTGTCGGTGGTGAGAGAACAGCAGGCCAGTTCTAAGCAGATGTAGCTGAGGCAACAGCAAGAGCCTTAAGACCAACAGAAAGGTCCCAAAGAGGTGTCTGCCACGTGGTGGACCATTCTGGCCCCGCACCCAGCTGATCCATGTGTCCATGTCGGGATTTTGTTATGCGATGCACTGTTTGAATTTGGGCAAGTGAATTGGTCCCACTGAGGCTTAAATTGTGGAGAGTAACAGGGGTACTTTTGGGACCTTTTTGTTCCATGGGATAGTTGTAAGGTTTAAGTTAAATAATGAATGTAAATTATTTAGCACAATGCCTGGAATGAAGTAACCACTTAATAATTATGGAATCTCGTGGGTGGTGAAGCTTGTGGCTAATGGGCTCATGGTGCCCTGCTCAGATTTCCTGAGTATGATGGACCTGAATCTCTGAGGCGTCAGGCCTCGACAAGACCGTCCCTTGTCAGTGCCCCTTGACGGAGGTGAACCAAGGAATAATGTCCCGAGGCGTGTGGGAGGAAGACGCTCAGATGGGCTGGAGACAGATGTACCTGGAGAAATGGGGAGCCTGAGTGGCAGTTGGGGTGGAGGACAGAGCAGTGCCAGCCTTGGGTACCACCAGGTAGCTGAGTGTCTCTTGGAGTGACGTTGATGCAACCTCCTACACACTGTGGGTAAGAGAAGTAAGAGCTCCTTCTAACAGTCAGTGAAGAAAACCAGCACAAAATGAAGGACACTGGAGAGACGAATGCAACATCATCTAAAGAGATGGCGAGGTATACTGGCCCCAAGTCAGGGCAGAATTTGACTTAAGATATTAGTACAGTGTTAAATAAAATGTGTTAATCAGCACAGAGAGGGACGAGTCGGTCTGCAGAAAATCTGTGAACATGGAATTGTCATGGAAGTGAATGTTGAAAGCAGCCGTTTGTGATCTGCCCGAATTCTGGGTGGAAAAACTCTGGATATTGACGTGTCTCAAATGATCCAGCCCTTTATTCTGGTTTCATGACCTCCCAAGCAGCTTTCTTGTGACAATTTTGTTTTGAGATAACATTTGCTAACGATTCCAGGGTGAGCAACCTTAGGAATATATTTTTCGCTATAATTTGTTCAATTGCATCCTTTTTGTACATCTGGATCTTGTGAGCTTTGGCAAGTGTGGATCTGCGCCTGGTGGCAGCTTTATCCTCTAAAAGCTGATAGGATCAGACTTGGGAGCCTATAAAGCTATTGGACTCAGGCACAGTGAAATGTCATTTGACAGACTTTTGGCAGTCTTCCAGCTAGGAAAAACAGATTGGCCCCACTTGCATTCAAATTACAGGTCAGGGTGGAGGCTCCCTGCAGATGCCCAAACAATGGTCTGGAACCGTCACCCCAAATCTGCAATAAATGATTCTCACTTTGCTTTGTCCTATGGGGTGCAGATCCATCATTCATGTTCATTAACTAGGCTGTCACATGCAGTCCATCTTGTCCCAGCCCCACCCAATGCTGCAGCGTCGGCAAGCAAACAACAAAATAATCTTGCTTAAGAAAAAGAAATAAAAAGCTCTCAATCTATAAATCACATGGAGACCTAGCAGGGTAGAGCATGCCCAAACCCAAACTGAAAACATAAATTACTGTCTTGGAGGTGGCTTGTAGCTATTGCTGCCTGCCAGCGTCCTGTGCTGTCAGATACAAATTTATCTCGGCACCGCATAGCCACTACGTCACCCAGGAGCTCAAGCCAGCACACGGGCCACCACTGCGGCTCTTCAGGCAGCCTTCCCCAGCCTGAGCGGCTGGGGTGGTGGAAACTGCTCTGTTCTTTGGGAGGAAGTCGGTGGGCTCTGGCCATCGTAGCAGGGGAGTGGGTGGCCAATGCAGACAGCAGAGCCATCAGCAATAAAGATGGGTCCAATTGTTTTTAAGAAAAATGCTTATGTAGGTGACTGAAATGTTTCAGGTTCTAAGTGCTGAAGACTATTTACTGTGTGATTCTTTACTCAGCCAGATGCCTGTCTTGGCAAGCCATGCACTTGGAACACCCGTAATCCACAGGAGTTTCAAACAGCTTAGGGAAAGCAGACGATTAGCCCTAGTGAGAATCAGAAGCTGGGAACAGCCGAAGTAGGAGTTAGGAGCCAGTGAAGCCCCTGCTGTATTTTTTGGGTTTTTTTTCCAGGCACTGAGAACTACTTGGCTGTTTTTGTTTTTTTATCTCATGGGGCTTGTTAATTTTTGAGGTGCTTTACTTTAAGAATTTTCTTCTCCTGAATGTATCCTCTTCTTTCCACCCATTCAAGCGTGTGGCAGGCTCTGCTTCTGTGCACCAGGGAAGGAAGGTGATGGGGAGGAGAGATGGAACTTAGGAGGTTTTCTGGCTTTTGTGCTCACAGCCTGAGCCTGTGGGGGATTGCATGAGACACATGAAGGAGGTGGGAGGGAGGAATGTTATGATGGAAGCCAAATGTCTTGTCTCCACCACTCCGAGCAGTAGAGAAACAGGTCAAGGTCTTTGTAGCACCCAGGAGGCAGTGCGATCACAGGAAGATGCATCTAGGAGGACAGAAGATGTCTTCTCTCTGCGGTGGAAATGGACGTAATGGATGACAAAGGCAGGGGCAGGAGCCTTCAGTGGAAACCTCAACGGGAAGGAAATGATGCCAGAGAGTCCCCTCATCCCTAACACATCCTCCCAGATATTTTGTAGCTCAAGACTCTGGAAACATGGCATATTCTTGCTGGTGGCATTCCAAGATTTAACGAGATGCATTTCCAGCCAAACCAGTGGGATGACAATAAAAGTCCAAATAAAGTTGAGGGTTACAGATTGAGAGCTCTCCTTGTCTAGATCACCCAAGAGTTCACCCAAGAGTTCAGTTGCTTAGATGGAGAAGAGAGCACCTCTTTCTGGTTTCTTTCCCTGGAAAATGGGGAGAGATTAATGAAAAGGGGCCCTGACTTGCATGGATCCCAGGGGCCAGGGCTCTGGTGAGCTTCTTCCTGTAGGGAGTTATGGGGTATGAAACCAGGAAACTGGGCGAATTTAGGGAATAGCACTACATCAGAGTTCACCCCAGATGGTTTCAATGGAGAGACTTTAATGAAAGGACCATTTAGAGGTGAAGAACAGAGCTACAGAAGTAAACCAGATGTGGTTAGGGCACCGACAGCTGGCAGTGGCAGGAGGTTGTGTCATTACCCATAAGGCTACATGGACGAAATAGGGCTACTGAAGCCTGGTAAGATGCGAGCTGAAAGGTGGTCTGGTGGCAGCTGCACCACCAGGACAAGGCACTAGAACAAGGAGGTGTGAGGGGAGAAATGCCACATTTCTCTCTACACTTACTCTATCATGTCCTTCTGGTGCCTTCTGTTGGTCAGATTCAACCAGAAAGCCGCAAGCCTGGAGTCAGCCATCTGGTTGGTAGGCACCAGCCTTCCAGGGCACACAGCGTGACAGGGAAGGCTGGCAATGAATCTGGGTCAGACAACAAAGAATGACGAAGACAGATGCTAAGGTCTAAGTCAGATGCATGGTCCAAGCCAATGTCTTCAGTTTCAATGACTGGTTCAGGAAGGGGACCCAAGCCACAGAACTCAAATGGTATTCCACGGAGCAGAAAAGCAAATAGTAAGAAGGGCATCTGAAGAAATTTCGGATGCAGCTTCTAGCTATGACCATAGATTGGGCTTGTGAGATGTCATTGTATTTGCAGTGCAGTGAGCCAGTACATTTTCCAGGAAGGCAGAGCTATTAGGTTTCTCTTATGTGCTGCATTTGCAGTAGTTGCATTTAAGTCTGCTAATAAGCCACTCACATGACACGGAGTCCAAAGTTCCACACCCTTGTCTTTGTCCTCTGCTGAGCTGCTCCCCCACCCCCACCCCGCACCCTACAACTGTCTTTCCTGGTGAGTGGGAGTGGTGGGATGAATCTCCAGAAAGTCTGTGTAATACATTTTAACGTCTAAATCAAAAGCTGCTCTGGCCAAAAGAATTAGTGACCTCTAAAATACTCCATGCAAAAGCAAAGAAGTTCAATTCTGACCTTTCTTACTCATAAAACATCAAATTTTATTGAAACAAGGAAAAGCATGAGAGATTTAGTGCAAAAGAGAGGAAAAGAACCCAAGAGGTAGAGCCCTAAAGCATAGGCCTGGGTGACCCTGCTCTGGCTCGCCCCATGTTGCTGGGAGCTCAGGGGCCGGGAGACGCTCCTGCCTGGAATCCGGCCCCAAAACACATTTCCAGGACTGGGGCAGGGATTATCTGTCCAGACAGCCTGGAGCTTGTTTATGGAACCTGTGTGGGTATCAAAGGGTGACTCAGAAGTTCTTCAATACGAGGCGTGGGCCGGAAAGAGAGACTAGCGAGGTGAAATGCGAATCTGGAATGTGTGACATGCACCTGAGAAGAATCCACGGGAAACTGAGCTCTGAACTTCCCCGGCA